GCCAGGTTGCCATCCCTGTCCTGAGAACACCCGTTCACCCACATCCTAGGCTGCCTGGGGAAGGGGTTAACGTGGACAGCAATTCCACACTATGTACGAAACCACCAAAAATAAACAAAGCCACTTCTTTTCCCAGTGGGATCATCTCACAGAGAAAAGATCAAACTGAAGAACTGGAAAAAGAAGCCAGTGGCAGAAGCCCTGGTACCAGCAAAGACAGAGACGAGAAGACAATCATCAAACGGCTGTAAGTTTGTCTGCATTTTTTTTTTTGGCAGAATATGGGAGAATAGGGCATGCTTCATACTTAACAAATCCAGGGATGAATTCTGAACTTTGGCCTAGTTGGCTGGATATTGTTTTCTCCTCCTCTCTCTGTAAAATTAAAATGTGATAGAAAAATCCTTTCCTGTGGAAAAAGCACTCCCTGGGAACACAATCTCCACCCAGGCAAGCAGGGTGTCACTTTTTTTCTAGGAAAAATAAGCATTTCAGAGCAAAACTACGCGATACTCGCCTCCCCTGCGAGCGCGTTGGGACTCTGCGGTGGGAACACACCAGTTGTCCCCAGAGGTTTGTTGACATTGTATGAAGGAGCTGTATGCAGTGCCCACAAACTCAGGCTGCGTCCCTAACGGTCCCCAAAATGGCAGAGCACATTGACATGGCTATCTCACTGCATCTTCCCTCTTTTCCAGTTGTACATTGTTTCTTTTTTGTTGTCTTTTTTTTTAGGTTCTCTTTTAAACATGGAAAATGAGCATCCTCGGGAACTTAACCACTTCTGTTCAGAAATGGCACTGACAAGAGCCTCTGAAGTGTTAGGGGGAGTCAATGATTGAAAGAAAAAGCATCACTCTTACTGTAGAGAATAATCAATCTCATAAGAATCCTGTTGTATAATATTCTTTCAGAATAGATTTTACTTTGCTTTTTTAGAAACTGTTTTGAGAGACACTTTTTGTATTTCTGAGATTCTGGCCAGACATTATCCACACGTGGAGAATAAATGTTTATACAAAGGTGGTTTTTATTCTTATTAAAAGAGCCTGTCATGATCTGTACTACCACTGATTTATCCTGCCCAGCTATCAAAATGCTCAGGCCAAATGATTTTGCAAGATGAAGATCTTTTTAAGATGTGTCATTCACAAGTGCATTCATAGAGAAGAACCCATTCAGACTGCAGTCCCCACTGCTCTTAGATGGAAAGTAATTCTCTTACACACAACTGCCTGAAGAAAACCCCAGCCTTGCTTTTTGTTCTGAGTCTGTCTTTGCATTAGATGGGTGATACAGGGGCAGCAGCAGGCAGAAGCCTGGCACACCCTGCCCCTACCCAAGGAAGATGCAGTTGGGCTGTGACAACAGAAGCCCTGCACACACAGGAGCAGATGTTTGGGGTCGAGATGAAAGATGGTGGAGAAGAGCACAGCAAGGGAAAAAAAGCTGCTGCATCGTGCTCTGCCCACATGAAGGGCTGATGTTTTTTCAGAGGTGCAGACCTGCTCAAACTGGAACAGTGTGATTTCAACAATTTGTGCAGCAATCTGGGCACCAGGCATTTCATTTCTGCCAGCTAAAGGCCTCCTGTGGTAGACAGTTGTATTTTTCATAAGCTCTGTTCTTTCACTCAACTGTCACAAGCTGTGTATTAGCCCAAGTAATGAGATTTATCACTAGTGGAAGTATATAGGGCAAACTGGAGTACAAAAGAAGCCTGAAAGATACCAATTAGGTTCCACATTTAGAAAATGAGAATTTCCAGAGCAGAAAAATCTGAACAGACATAAAAGGAGCAGTGACAGGTATCAAACCATGATCTTACTCTCTTCAGAAGTGAAAGCAGGCTCTGAAATCTTTTGATACAGTAGCAGCCTGAAAAAATATAGGACACCTCACACATGTGCTCAGATGCACAATGCAAAGGTGGCTGAGCAGAAGGCAGAACTGGTCTCCTTTCAGAGAGAATTTGTTAGCAGCTCTACCTTAGCAAGGCAGCATCAAAGATGTTTGAACTAAGCAAGGTGGTGTAGCCAGGGCACAGAACTGCTAAAGTCATTTTGCCATCTTCAAAATGTCAGTAAGTCTTGGCCATGTCCCTGCAGTGTATTTTCTAGAGCATGGCAGCAGGGAAGGAAGTTACTGCATTTCCTCAGCAGAGGCTTTGTGTTTAGAGAAAAGCAAACAAAAAAGAAACAATCATGCAACAGCCAGGGAACAACTCTGAGCTGGAAAGAGATGTTTATGTGTGCTCTGAACTCCATCCTCTTCTGTGGTTTATCCAAGGATCTATTTTCCAACCTCCTTTAAAAAGGGAAGGAGGGAGAATTATAACAAATCCCCAAAACACACTCATCACTCTATTAAGTCTTAATGAAACAACTTCAGGTAATAAACTGATAAACTGCACAGATTACACCGAGCTGTGCAAAAGTAACAACCTGTCACAGAGACACAGAAGACTAACTTAGCCCTAGGCCACTCTGCAGTTAGTTGAAGGAATCAATAATGAAAGCTGCAATTATTCTTTTCAGTTTACCATTTAACATGTTCTTTATTTAAAAAAAAAAAAAAAGAGGTGGGAGTTCAGCAGTTACAGCAGACAGGAGAACACCTCAACCTTTTTGGGTTAATCTTTTTGTGGAACCATCACAATTACATCCCCTCTGGTGCCAAGTGAGCTACACAGCTTCTCTCTCTCTCAAAATAAGAGCAAATTCCTTGGCTATGGCTACAACAGAAGAGGCTCCAGTCCTGTTAGAGCAACCCCGTCACCTCTGGCAGAGCCACGGGAGCCTGACAAAAGTTGAGCTCCCAGCCCAAGAGCATCTTTCCTTGCAAAGTGCTTTACAGCTTGTTAGAAAGTGAAAACTTCCTGTAAGGCACAGGGATAAAAACCCAAATGGCAGGTTTCTGTGAAAAGCATTTCAGTTCCTAGAAAAGTAAAGGATCCATACTCAGTGCAACATCAGCTTTATTACCATCTTCCGATGCAGTGCTACTTCATTACCAGTTAAGTGTTTCAGAGAAGACATTTTTTAAATGTAAATAGGGAGAGATCTTCCCCCTTTCTTGTTTACAAAAGTGATGCTGAAGAACAGAGGTTTTAAGCTATTTGACCTGATAGAGAACAAGCAAGTGTTTAAATAAAAACAAAAAAAGAAGCATTTTATTCCAATTTTGACTTCAGGAAAGTTCTTTAGTAAAACAGGATACTGTACACTGCTGTAGTCTCTCTTACTGAGAGCAGAGAAAAATGAGTGCTAACTCAACTGAGTGAGCCAACAAAGCTTACCTGTAACTCAGTACCTGTAAGGTAACAGGTCTCCAGTTAACTCTTCAGAAATGGTGAAGATACACAGGCTGTCTCTGATGAGCTTGCCTTGTGTTAAGTGATAAATAATATAAAGCATTATCATTTTCACAGCTTTCTTTCAAAATGCTAACGATCTGCAGTGGAGACAGGTACTATAGCAGCCACTTCATCAATAATAAATATATTCTTTATTTTTACAGAGACATTGTCTTCAAGTTTTTAATTTAAAAAATACATCACTAAGCCACCTCTCTTGCTGCTGGAGCGTACAACCAGGATGTTGTTGCTATTTGACCTATCACATAGGCAAGCATATAAGATTGTCCTAGAGGGCAACAGCTGGAACAGCAGCAGCTTTCAAAACATGAGGAACAGGAGACGTTAACAGAGCCACCGATCCCTTGCTGACATCTTCCAGCAGCAAGTGTGGCTGATGGCTCACAGCCATTTTCATCTACACACATGCCAAGCCTGCCTTGGCAAAAATTCCAACTGGTAAGAATTCATCTTTAACATAAAGGACCTGCATTGTATTGCCTGCCTATATCACAGATTTGGTTCTCCAACACTTAACATTACAAACATCCACAAGATGCTAAGCACTCAACTCCCGTTTAAGACAGTGGGACCAGACCATGCTGGACAGACCTACAGGACCAGGCAATAAGGAATCTACTTTCTTCATTGCATGAACTCCACCATTACAGTTTGAAGCTGCATATGAAGATGACTCCTATTTTTTGCAACCGCTATGCTCTACTTCAAGCATTCACAGTAAATAAATAGCTTCTGATGTGGCTAATTAGCATAGGAAGGTAATAAAAAAGTTTTTGGAGAGAGCTTTTTCTTCTTTAAAATCCTCTGGGAGACACCTCCAACAATCAGCCATCAACTATAAAAAGGTACCATCTTAAATTTTAGAAATTAAGTAATGTCAAACATTGATTCTCACTGTGAAGTTCTATCTTCAAATTTCTCATCATTACCAACCCAGTTTATCAAAATCCATCCTCATTTGGCTTGGAGTCATTTCTCTGAAGAAAGCAGCTAATTTGACCACCATTTCCCTCAGCACCAGTGCTTTTAAAGTTCCCTGCCAATGTGAGATACGACACTGGAAAAACTGGATTCCTACCACAAATTATTTGAGAACAGTAGTAGCATCCATCTCGGCTTTGCCTGTCAGCACTGGGTTGTAAAAAAAAAAAACTGTCTGACAAGCAGTCAAGCCATTGGATGTACGAGTCAGAGTACAGAAGCACATCTGCTGTCACAAAGCTAATGCCAAGTTCATCACCCCACAAAGTGGAGCATGAGATTTCATTGCAAAAGCAGAAGCACAACCCAAGTGATTCAGTTTCTGTGCAAGTTTTTGACTGCATGCTCAAGTGGCACTGGGCACTACGTCGAAGTATTCAAATTTTAGGGGGGGTTTCCTTTTATGATATGAAAGTTTTGGCAATCTAAGATCAATTATTTGAGCCTGCCTGGAAAACTGTAATAGGTATTTAAATACTGCAAAGCAAAAAGGTATTTTTTAAGGAGCTCAGAACACCATAAGCAGTTCACTAAGAAAGCTGAGGGAAGTGAGGACGGGGTGGGGAGGGGGGAAATCCACTGACTCCTTGTAGAGCACTCAGTCCAAAAAAACCAAGAAAAAACCCCAAACGAAGGAGAATAATTAGTGTTTCAGCCACGGATGAGCTTCAATGGAAGCTTTGCTTCTGTCTCCATAATCGTACAACAGTTCTTCACCTGCTTTAATGTCTCTGGAAGCTATCAGTATGAGATGAGGCACACCATCAATGTCATGAAGCTTTGTCTGACAATTGCCACATTTGCTGTGATTAATCAGTCTTCCCAGACGATTAGTTTCTTTTGTAGCATCAACACTGAAAGAACAAGAACAGAATGCAGGATTGCTGCATATCATGCAGTCACATTTGTGGACAAAAACACAAGCTGAGATCTGATAAAGAATGGGAAATCCACACAAGGCTTGAAAAATGAAGGAAAATCAGAACATTGCAGAATATTCATATAATTAAACAGACAGCACATAACCTGGCAATGCAGGTAAACTAAAGCAATTCTGGGAGATTTTTGAGTTAAGCCCAGAAAACTGATAACTTTGGATTATGTTTGTGAGCTGCCTCAACTGTTCATGAGGAATAGCAGAATCCAGATGTAGAACACCACCAGAAGGGCTTGATACCTTAAATACCCTCCCCGCCAAGAAAGCTGCGTCCAAGCTAAGTAGTATCCACTGAGAAAGCCAGCAAGAGTCTCTACTCACACAGAAGGCTGAGAATGTCTAAATGTTACATGCCCAACTTCCAGAGACCTGGACACTAAAGCTCTAGTGCCCCTCATTGCACAAAGAATTGTTAAGGCAGCTACCATTATGGCATCTAGACTGCAAGTTAGATACTTAGAATACAAGGCACTTCAAGGTAATTTATATATAGGTGAAATGACCCACACTTCAGTGTTCAGTAACATCAAGGAGGAAAGAACGTAGTCTGAGTAGTTGCTTTGAGAGAAATGGAGTTTGGGGCAAATGACAGCAAATAGAGTGATAAAGCATTAAAACCACAACAAGCATGCACATAGGGTGGGTGTCAGGTACTAGAGAAAGAAGGACACCCAGTCAAAGACAGTTGAAGGAAATGTTTCTTTTACAGTGAGTTTGCCCACAAAAAAAGAGAAGCCCTTGCAACTCAGGAAAAGCAGTTAATTTTACAAGAGAATAAATTGAGGGAGAAGTCCATGGCAGAGTTAGAATTCTCACCCAAGCAGATACAATAGTGCTCCAGAAAGATTTCCTAATTCATGGTTCCCATTTAAAAAAAAACATTGCATGAAAAGAAGAAAAGACTTAGCAGCATTCAAAGCCTCTATCACTCAACTATCACACTTAAGGGAAGAGAAGCTTACCAGTACGTTTTGCTGAGGTACTGAAAATAGTACATGTAGCAGCCTGTGGATGGATCTTGAGCATACACAGCTTCTCGCTTTTTAGCATCAGTGATCTCTATGAGATCCCCATGATATTCAACTACAAATTCTCCTCGATTAAAATGTTTAGTAGCAATTACTCCTCTCCCTTTGCCATCAATGTAATCAATCTGTTGAGTTGAAAAGAAAATCAGCTGGGAAATTAAAAAGTATTTACATGATTGCAAATATGCTCTTTACTAGGAAATGAGTGATTTGTCATTAAGAAAATGCCACAGCAGAGTATTTGTGTGTATTGCAGAACCACAATGCACAGCACTGTGGAAGAAACACAGGAGGAGTTTGGGACACACTCGAGGAGTTAACAAGTATTTTGATCCAAAGTCTTCTAATGAAAGAGCTAAGAATTACTTTAAATAAAAACCATACACAGAGAAGAGTTATCTGTTTTTTCTTTTAAACTACCCAGCAGCTGAGGCAGGAAGCTTTTCCATTTCAGGTGCACCAGCATCATTAGCATGCACAGGTTAAAAAGCTACAGGAACAGAAAGACTGATCGCAGAAGCTACATTTATCACCCACCAGCATTCTTTATTATTCCTGCCTGCCCCTGTAAATTGGACAACTCCAAGAAAGTTTTCCCATCACTGTCATAGATGTGATGGTGTTAACTGCAGGCTCCTGCCCTTTCCCCCGTCAGAATCACAGCTCTTCTGCATTTCCAGGAGCCATTTCTGCTTTAAATTCTAAAAAGGGTGATCAGAGTAACCTAAATGGTAAGCACCTGGTCCCAATAACTAGCATTTGCTAACAGTGGGAGGAAAACCAGGACAACCCATTATCCCAAGTGCCATAATGAAGACCCATAGTGACTGGTTGTAACCAGGCTAAGAGAATTTGTTACCATGCAGACAGTGTATATGGGTGTTACCTTTAAAACATACAACAATTAAGATGCTGTATCTAACCCCATTTCTGGAAGCTAACCCAAGAAATGAGATACTAAGGGGAGCAAGTGCATTTTCAGTAAAGACTATAAAGGCCCCTCAGTACTTATGACTGAGGCTGCACATACATATGCTTCAGAGCCAAATATTGCCCAACCAAAAGGAAAGATTGTGCTCCAGTTCTGCTGCACTTTCATCTTACTATCAAGGAACTGCAGCAGTTCTGAGACTCAGTTCTACTACTTTCTGCTTAAACAGATTAACAGCAAGATCCTGTATAAACAGTACATGGCTACTCGGGTTGGCATTGCAGTTACCTTCATTCCTTCTTCTTTCCCACTTGTAATTAGCTCATTTATTTTTCTCCTCTCCTCAGTCTGCAGAAGAAACGAGGACAAATAAAACCCCAGTATTATTCATGGTTTTTGCAGCTTATTCTATAGCTAAAAGGAAATGATTAGCCAGTGACACTCATTTTCCCAAATGACCCCATATTTCTAGCAAAACTGAATGGTACAGAGACAGACTTCTGCCCCTCAAAATATATAAACAGCTTGACTCTATTTGAGAAGAACAGGATCAGCATTTCCAAATTTTAAGAATGGTCTTAACAATACTTCCAGTGCACATTCATATTTGGACAACTGGAAACCATTTACAGATAGTTATGCAGTTCCTCAAATGCTCAATTAACTGGAAATGTTGTAAGTAATGTTATTTTAACAAGAAGCACTACCTCCAATTCAGATTTGCTCTTCCTGGAACTTCTTCTAACTGGGTAATAATCTGTCACTTTTCGATTTGGTGTTCTTCCTTGTGTTCTAAGGGAAAAGAAAAAACAGAGAACGCACGTATTTCAGACTGTTTGTGAAGTTTCACCTCTAGGACAGAGATATCTGTAAGAAAATTTTATTTTTAACTTGGTATCTTGAAAGATGATTAACATGAATCAAGGTTTCTTATCAGTACTCTTCCCTTCAAGCCAAAAGGCAGATCTCCTTTTCTTCCCCATACTATTTCCATTGCTTTAGTACTAATTCTTTAACACCAAGAACAAGATGCCATTGGAAACCAACTGAAGGTCACATTACAAGTCTGAAGCCCCCTGCGTGCCTTGCCAGAAGGCACTCTGAAATGTAGGTCATGAAAACTACTTGGCAAGGAATCTGTTAATGTTAGGTCACATTACTCTGATATCATGAGAAAGAGTATCAGCTCAGCCAGGAAGCCTTCAACTGTAATTAATATTCTGTTTCTGACATGATACATTCTATTTGTCCACAGAAAAGTAGGTCTTAATGGCTCATTAATTTATTTATCTATAGGTGATTCACTTGAAATAAAATACATTAGCCTTGCTTTCAAGAAAAACAAAAGTCCTCTGTAAGGCAGATACATACTTCGGGTGCTAGTTTGTATTTTCAAACATATTATTCTTGAGAAAACAAAGATGTCTCCTTTAAGATTTGTTCTGCCCAATGTAACCATTTGCTTTAAAAAAAAGCAACAAAACAAGAATAACATTAATTACAGGTCTGATTGTAGCTCCTGGAGGAAAAATGCAGATCAAAACCTCCTGGTGCAAAAGGACACACAGAAGAAAAGCTTTTACAATTCCACAAGTCACTTACTTTCTCCTTGGTCCACGTTTTGCTTTAACCATCTTTTTCTGAGCTGGCTTTGCAATGGCCTCATCAGCACACTCTGAAGGCAGGGGCGTCTTTTGAGCTTCTACAGTTTCTTGGTTTTGATCAGAGGAGGGCAACGACGTATTGCAGTCACTTTCTTTATCTTTCTGGTCTTCTGGTTTCATAGCACCTTCAATTATATTGCCACCATTCTTTTTTTCTGGTGACAGGAAAAAAAAGTAAGGCTCTGACCTTAGGATCATCTATATCAGAGTGCTTTAAATTAATTCCAATGGTTTCTAGTCCAAGTTTCTAGTTCTGTCAAACAGGAGAAAGAGGAAGGGAATATACAACCTCTTTCTGCTAGAACCCAGATAGGCTGTTACGCAACTTTTGAGTAGTCATTGCTCCAGTGCACATGGTACAGAGGGAGGGGTGAGCAAAGAAAGGGAAAGGGTAAAACAGAGCCCAAGTACTTTGTCACATTTGGTTTGTGACTCAGAGTCCTCCAAACCTGAACGTGCAGCACTTCCAGTGCAGGGTTTGAGACAACTGCACAGTTTGTCTCTCAGTGCATCTGGCATAATTAATTATCAAGTTGCCACAAGGTAATGGACATCCTGCACCAAGAGGGAGATGAAGCCTCTCTGGATCCTGCAGATCAGGAGCTGCAGATGCTGGTACCAAATGGCCAACACCACTCAAAATCCACAGGAGCTAAAGGGATGGCACTTACAAGAAGTCTGCCCCACACACAATCAACATTTTCTTGGTTGCATGTGTCCTACCTTGATACGACCACATCCTCCTCCTCAGCCAACTCATTCAGAGGTAGGAGAGCATGGCTTAAAGTTGAATAAAGTTTCTAATTAAAGCAAATCACCAGGTTTAACAGTCCCATCTGCTGAGACAGATGCTTCAATCTCACTGGAGAAATCCAGCACAGCTGCAAAGCTACAGCAGTGGGACAAGCTAAAGCCATCTTCACTTCCTTGTCAAAACTGGGGAGCTAAATAAGGAGCTAAAGGCCCCAGGTTTGCAGAAAACCTGACACTCCCTGTGTTGAGTAGAACTTAAAATACCTGTTTGCTAAAAGTGTTTGCATCAGTGGTTTGACAAATTACCAAGGTTATTACATGCACCTTTAAACATAAGCCAGCGTTCCTCCCCCCCTCCATAAACTTGCAGAACATTCCCATTTCCAGTCACTACAATGAAGCATCCATGAAGCCTGGCACTGGCAATCAGCACCCACAATCTGTGCTCCTCCTTCTCACTGCCTCTACTTCATCCTGAACATTTAAGAAATTTTTCTTCTTCTACCAGTACCTCTGCCTCACGCCTGACTTGACTTTGAGTTGCCTTTATATAAATTACTATAAAGTAGTCAAATTATAGACTAAACCAGTTTTAGGTAATAAAACAGACAAAAAAAAAAATTAGATAAATTGTCAAACACTGACCTGAAGAAGCAGAGTCATAACAGAATTCCAGGGAGGGCACATTGACAACACAAGCATTAGCTTTTTATATCCAGAGAGACGATACAAACATAGCCAAACAAAAAAAAAAGAGGAAAAATGGCCTGCTAAACCTGTGACCTACGTTTTGAAAAGGATAAGGACACCCTCATCTTTGTAGAGTCCCAGTTTGCCAATGGAATTGTAGGACTGGGAAAGCAACTGGGCCAGGGGAGCTGCCTGACCTTCTTGACTGTGTATTAAAGTTTTCAGACTGGGGGTGGGGGGAGCACATTTAACCAGGCAAACAATCCAAAGATCAATCTTACCATCTCCTTTCCTGTAGGTTTCTTTTCGTGTTTTGCCCTGACGTTTCACGTCGCGATACATGACAGAGTTTTCTTCTTGAAGAGGGGGACGAGCACCAGGAGTTTTGTTAGGATTCAGGTAGCTGTAGATTTTGGATTGACAAACGAACACATTCTCCTAAAACAGACCCACACAAAAATCAGTACATCACAGAGATGCCAGGAACCTCACAAGTTGGCATCCACCACAGGCTGCAAAGACCAGGGCTGACTGTGCTAATGCAAATTACGCTGCTTTAATGCACCATCCTTGTTGCTGTTGCTATTTCTACTAAGTGAAAACATAACAGTGGTAAGGACTCAGAGTACTTTATTAATGCAAACTCACAGTTCAAGAGGACTTGCATATGAAATGTGGCAGGATGGGGTAGTCATAACTAACTCCAGAGTTCATACTGTGAAGCACAGGGTAGAAGCTGGTGCTAAAAAATAAACAAACCCCCCAAAAAAACCCCAACCCTGAACTTCTCAGAAGGAAGGCAGCCTCAAAGAGTGCAAGCCAAAAAAAAAATACAAGTAACACAGCAAAAATTGCCCAAGCCTAGAAGATACCCCTCATAGCCAGAGAGGTGTGAGCTTAAGGGAACACTCTCATGAGGTGTCAAATGTTACTGCAGTTAATTATACGCTCTACTGAGCGACACAGAGGACAGCAATCAGTTTTGCACAGTCTACCTGGGGTGACACCTCTCAGTGAAGCCTGGGAGATAACTAACACTATCTTTTCACCCGTTACGCTTCGCAAAATAAAGCGTAAGAGTCGTTCATGGCAAAATAAACATCAGAGTCTACGCAAAGCGCCTACACCCAGCCAGGAACGTGGTAAAACCCTCTGGCACGGTCAGACACCACAGAGACTGGGATTTGTACACTGCCTTGGGCTCCAAGAACATCAACAGTGAGCAGGATCAAATTCAGCAAAGTTGGGTGGATTCGTGCCACCTTTGCTTTTGCAGCCACCTGCCAGCTCGCCAAGTGGGACTGTGTATGTAGGGCACACAGATTTCGACTGTGAAATCTCACCCTGTGGATAAGCAAATGCCACTTGGCTGGAATGAGTTGGTCTTGGCTATAGTTTGGCTCAACTAAAAGCAACTTTCAGACATTTTAAGCCAGTTAAAACAACAAAAACACGCATCCATCTTTTCAGAAAGGCACACAAAGGTTCCCATTGGTTAAAAAAAGCTCAAATATAGATGATAAAACAAATACTGCAGTATATGTAGTCACACAAACGCTAAAAAATATAAACAAAGCACACAGTAGAATACATAGGATAATTTTAATAATTAACATAATAATGAGTAACAAGCTTAACATGTACATAATTCACACACAAAATAAGACCAGTTAAAGGCTCAAATCTTAATCCACAAATAAATTTTACTAACAATTAAGATTACAGTAGAACAGCCTGAGAAAAAGCAAGTTGGTTAGACAACCTTTGACCCCTAATATTTCTGAAAGGTCTATCGAATAAAAGACTTGCTTATTTAAAAAACTGGGGCTTTTAAAGGATGAAATACTATGAAAACACTCAATTTTAACAACTGCAAGCAGCGAACCTCGTGCTGCAAATTCTCAAGATTTAGCAAAGAGTTTAAATAATGGGCATTTCCAGAGAGAGCCAGAAGCTGTGAACTGCAGCAATCCACCTGCCAGCAGAGCTTTCTAGCTTTGAATACACCATTAACAGGAAACCAACAACTATTTTTCCATCGTAGCTTCCTTCCCTCATTCCCAGCTCCCTGCCCGCTGCGCTTTTGGCACTACTGAGACGCGGCTGCCACGTCTTTGTCTGTGCCAGGCTCGAGCCCCTGGAGAGCAGAGGGTTTCTCAGCACAGCAGAGCACACGAAGGGCTGCTGAGGAGCTCTGGGATTTGATGCAATAGCCACAATTATTTCCACGGAGGGTTAAACACGAAGTGACTGTCAAGCTCCGGCCAACTGCCTGTCACAGAAGGACAGGGGGGAAGATGGCACGGAGGGAGGGATGGCCGAGCCTGGGGCCTGGCTGCTGGCT